TTTCTCTTTTGTTTGTGAAGGTGATGCTGACTGTCGATGAACGGTGGACTGGATTCAATATTCAGAGGGAAGTAAAGACAGTACCGTATCATGAGAATCCATGAAGGATAGAGCCCCTATATGTGATCTAATCCAACCCATCACTCCCGAGTAAGCACTAGTTGAGGGATATTTGTTGGGCTATACTGGTTGAAGACTAAACCCTGCAGACCATGAAACTAATGATCACCTCTAACGCTTTATCAGGCCGTTTGTTCTATTCTGTGAGAAGCTCGTCTACTGTGGCCCTGAGCATGTTCGAAGACATGACCTTTGCTACATGCTCGTCGGTGGGACCGATACCACTGCTCCATCCAACATCTAGAAAAAAGAATGCGCTAGCGAACCTCGCGTTAACTGGTCATAATAATCTCCCGGTTACTTCTTATCCACTGTTGATTGAATCAGATCGGCTGCCCTCTCAGCAACCGCATACACGGTCGCCATTGGGTTCCCATACGGGATCAATGGGAAGACACTAGCATCCACGACCCTCAAGCTCTTTGTCCCATAGACTTTCAAGTCTTGATCGACCACCCCACCCTGTTCACGAGGCAACATGGCAGCTGTGCCACATGAGTGGTGGGTAGTGAGAGCCGATGCGCGGAGAAGAGTCTTAGCTGCCTCTAAATCCTCGGGCACTTTTACTGCCGAGCAATCCAAGAAGGGCTGCAGGGTGGGAGACGCAGCGACCTGGAAAAGGGATTGTAAGTGCCTAGCCATAAGCTCAATATCCACTGGATTCGAGTAAAAGCGTGGATCGACCTCGGGTTTACTGTCAGGGTCATCTATACCACTGCTAAGATGAATGCTACCTCTGGACAAGGGATAGCACTGAATCAAGCCCAGGAGGGCGACGTTGCCGGCTGGCCTGGTGCTCACAAAGAAGTTGGCGGAAGCTTCTTCCGAATTTCTCAAGATATTATCGCAGATCACATTTTCAGGGTCTGTGGGAGAGAGATATCTTGCAGCGAGATGGGCTTCTTCACCAGTTCGAACAAAGGCCAAGGCTTGCAGCCCTGCGGTGACGGTGCCTTCTTGGGGCTTCAGCCCGACGGGCTGGACATACATCGAATGGTTCTGTAAGTTCTCGCCAACTCCGGGATTGTCTATGATGGGTGTGATACCATAGCGGGCAAGTACGGCTTTGCTGCCGATTCCAGAGATTTCGAGAAGCTTGGGTGTCTGGAAGGCTCCGGCGGCCAGGATGACCTCATTCGTGAAGGTTGGGTCGATCTTTCTTCTCGAGGCCGCGATACTCATTGTCAGCGCTGCTCCGGAGACCGGACTCTGGGTCAACCGTAGCAGTGTGTGGCCGGGCGCCTACAGTAGATCCTTCAAGGATCAAATCGGGCTGGAACCCATAGCCCTTCTCTTGAAAGACTTTATTCCAGGCCCAAATGAGCGGATGGTTTGCCTTCTCCGCTAGAGCAGGATAGGTGACTTGGATGGGCCCACCGGCCCCTGTATGCACTTGCTCATTCAGACCAACTTCAGAGAGAGGAATCCCACGAGGAGTGGTCAGCGTAAAGGTTCGCCGCAAATACGGCAATAGATCCTTCCAAGACCACTTCGAGTTGCCTAGCCTGCTCCACGTGTCGATTCCAGCAGGCGAGGGAGGTAGAAAGGCCGCCCCGTTGATGGCAGAGGAGCCACCCAGAACCTTGCCTGCGGGGAGATCTTGTTCGCGGTTGTTCAGGCCCGTCTACCGGTCTTAGCTCTCAAGATCATGGACGGCAGAGAAACGCGCATCTCGAAAGACAATCACTCACCTGGCTCACCGTTTTGAATTGCCAATCGAGGCCGGTGCCGCAGAGAGCGTGCCATGACGCTGGATTTTGCAGCTGGGGATCTGAGGTCTTGTCGGGCCCAGCCTCCAAGACGAGGACCTGAACGGTGGGAATCTCGGATAACCGGCTCGCCACGACCAGGCCGGCGGTCCCGCCACCAACGACAATATAGTCAGTACTGGATGGAAAGGCTCCATAGAGAACGGAAGATGTGGTAGAAGCACTACTCTTGGCCAAAGGGGTGGGATGTTGTCTCTCTAGAAGTCGGTGAATAGCCCGGGCATTACCCAAATTCGACTAGGAAGACACCCATTCTAGCGTGACAAGGCACCCTGGACCCCTGCGTCAAATACACGCACATATCAAGCTTCTCGGGCCCCTACTACGGGACTATAGTCTCACGTCAGAACATGGCGCCACACACTGCTCATCATGCTCGACACAACCATCCATCCGCCTGCTGAGTGCAATTCTCACTTCCCACCCCCGTCAATGCATAGAGAGCCTGGTTGGGGTCATATCTCTCCTTGATGGAGGTCAGTCGAGGATAACGGTTTCAGTAGAACGTCCACTGCCAACTTGGCTGATGTAGATCTGCCTCATTCAGGTACATTGAATGAGGCCCCAGAGATCAAAGCCCCGTAGTCGGCGATCGACCGCAAGGCTGTCACAAAAGCGGCGGTATCAGACGTCACTGTGGAGTAGGGAATCAGACGACCTCCAATCTGGGTTTCTGTGACAGTGTAGATGGGGTTCATCTCCGCGTAGCTCTCGTAGAAGGTCGTGAAGTTGCGGGTATTGTACGCTGTGGGCCCGAGTCAGGATAAATCAGGTAGAGGACAGAGATCAGAAACATACTGTACGGATTGCCACACCACCAGCATCAGCCAGAGGGACAACACCTTTGATGAAGCTCTCCGCCACATGCCAGAAAGTATCTTGCGACACTCCAGGGCTTGATCAGCAGCAAGGCCGAATCGGGATGCCAAATTGGCCATGACCGCCTCCCTGGATATAGCCACCGGCATAGCCTAGGTACAGTCCGACAGTTACCAGCAACGGCCACAAACCCTTATTCGTGGGCAGCTGTCATGGCTTCCAGCACTTGAACTCTAGCACCAACTCGGATAGCAGGACCGACAGAGCCTGTGGAGTTGTAGTCAAGGATTTCAATTGCCTTGAGATGATGAGTCCACACAGCTAGTGCTCCCGGCCCCTTGGATTTCAGGTAATCATGGCCAGTGTTGCGAATCACTAACCGAAATGTTGTGGGTCCCAGCAAAGGCGAGTGAGTGTCTTCCGATAATCCGCGGCGCTGTTCGCGTTCACGATAGCGCACGAACAGGTCGATGGCGCAGGGGAATAAATTGACGAGAGAGAAGAAAGGATGATGAACACTGATTTCTCGATATTTCTATTTATGCAATTCATCGCAGGCTAGCACGGACCCAATTCTTTGCAATCGTACCACCGTCAATAGCCCGTCTGAGGCGAAAATCCTTGCGGTCACATACTCGAGGGTCTGAAGGTGGTCGATTGAAGGCCCAAAAACCCATGAAGCAGCACATCATGTCCCTGGGGTATTGGCTACGAAACTGTACCTAGTATTACCATAGCGGAAACCATACCAAAACCGTATCAAAAGACAGTCTGTTCCAATGCAAGTACTTTTTTCCATCCTTGTTCTCTCCCCTTAGCGCCGACTTCCGCCGCGGTAGTGTGTGATAGTGCGCTCATCAAGCAATGCCTCTAATCCAATGTTGCACTGGAATTATCTATGTACAGGGGGGGTCCTTGTAAACTGGAGCTCCGATTCCAGATGTCGCAACCCATGGCAATAGATACAACACCACCAACCATGCACACCACAGTCTCCATGCTGCGGCATCTGAGCGGATATCCCGCTGCCAAACCACCGACGCTGCTACTCCGACAGCCATCGCGCATGGAGCGATGTAACACCGGAGTGGCAAGCCCCAAAAGAAGACACACGCTGGACCCCAACACAGCACCAGGGCAGCGATCAGCCAGCGTGACCGGGTTGGTCCTACGAGGAGTGGAATCGTTAATCTCCCGCGACTGCGATCCCCGGCCATATCTTTCAGATCTTGAATTGACATGGTCGTCAGAATGACACCACTGATCATGGTGATCCAGAGGTATCCTCGTCTCGAGATGTGAGCAGCAGCGGGATTCAAGTCCGCGGAGGAGCCTAAAGCAATGCGCAGTGAAGAGGCATTGAATAGGCCGTAAGCGATGGCGATGACGAGATCGCGACTAAGTTCGTCTCCGCCCTTAAGGTCGTTGTACATCCAGGCCAGGATCATGATCAAAGCACTCTCTTGCCAGACCCTGAGGCCATATGTCAGGGCTAGAACGGCAGGAATAGCAACTAAAAGAAGCCGGCGGGTTTGCTCGGCACTGATGCGGCCAGTGGGTAATGGCCGCCAGGGCTTGTTGAGTCGGTCTTCCTGGATTGCCTCGGGTGAACGCTGGTTCGCAAGTTGGAAGATGAAGACCACCGCCCAGTTGAACAGAATGACCAAAGGGAGGCGATAAAAGACCAGATCTATGGCCGAGGGAAAGATACTGCCATCAGCAAGAGCAGGTCCGGCCAGTGCCCCCAGTAGACCAAAAGCGGAATTTGGGAGCACAAATGTTGGGATGTCGCTCTCCGAAAAGAGCCAGATGATGGCTGGCAGGTCTTTGAAAGGAAAGGGCTTCGTGGAGATGGATGGGTCCTGGCGTGTCTTCTCCATCTTGTTGGAAAGAGTAAGCACAGTGATAGAGAACGTGTGTGTGTGTGTGTGTGTGTGTGTGTGTGTGTGTGTGTGTGTGTGTGTGTGTGTGTGTATGGGCGTGCTCCTGGGCCACATGGACAGAAGTGCTTCCGGTCTTTATAGGTCGAGTCACTCGCTTCTTCTGATGCACAAAGATAAAACCAACGCGAGAGTGCCTATGCACTGAGCCTATACCCACATTAGCAGGGCATTGATCGATTGGCCATAGTACCATGGAGAGGACTGGCGCTTTGCGGCATCACACCCGGTGGGATTCGCGGCTCAGCCAATACCCAGTCATGGTAGAGACCCTGTTATTCTCGACTGTATTATATAGATACGATAGTGGTTTCTGGTTTTGACTGTACGAGGTTGCTGTGTAATTAGTATTGGTATTATTAGTAGTTCTTTACGTAATTCCCACGAGAAGTGATATCGTGGACATTGAACTATAGGGCTGGATCTGGACAACGGACTTGTGTGCTCAGAGCGACTGCTCCAAGCCTGCACAGTCGTACTTCACGATGACGGCATCAAAAGAAGGATAAACGGAGCTAGTCCATGTCCGTGGACACCAGCAACTTAGGAACCCCCCAAGAAGTGGATCACACTTGCCTCAGCTGAGCTTGAGCAGGTAGGATAAATCACTTATGGCTCTGGTCTTGCCAAAGAGAAAGGAGGTACTGTTTCCGATTTGGGAATATATAACCACGTGATCATCGATAATCGACCCTAACCCTGAGCCCTATGCCACGTAGTCTTATCGAAAGCCATTCTTCAGATGCCTTGATCTACAGAGAACAGTGACTTTATCTGAGTTACACTTGAGGATGACAAGGGACCTGGATATCGAATGATATTAATACAATACTAGTATGCAGTTCGGTCCCCTACTGAAGAAGAGAAAGCAAGCTGAAGACCATGACTACAACACAGGCAAGACATGGACACTAGGTACTTCTTCAACCGAACAGGCGGAGGCTACTACCACTCTTGATGTGAAGAGTGTCCGAATAGAATTAAATCAAGGTATTAAGTGAATTGGCATCGAACGACTACAAGTATCCATGATGCGCGCGGGCGAGATGGAGACGGCCGTGCTCAATAAGCTTATTGAGGGCAATATCCGGAAGCCTCACAACCAGGCGCCTCAGATGTTATGTATACCACATGGTCAACAACTCTTACTTTCCTTCGCTCTTCCTTGTATATCCTCATCTTAATGGCTTTTTGGGAGATTTACAGAGACATTTTGTATGGTTGGTTGTATAGGTCAGAAACAACTCTGGTCTCTGTGGTTCATAGGGGTAACGCAATGAACATCGCAGCAATATATTCCTTCATATATTCTCTATGGGCAATCCCTACCTTTCTTTCCCCACAGAAAGTTCGAGTGCCTACCAATAGATCTCAATATGAGGTTCACTCGTTGCCTAATACTTCCCTGCCGTTGAGCTGGGCTGGCCGGCTCTCTGTTCCTGAAACGCCTCCAGGTAATTCGTTGTTCTTCTGGCTCTTCGAGGCTGAAGATCCTGCATATGATGAGAACCTCATAAGTCAGTCCCGTCACCGAAAGCATTCATTTTTAGGAGCATAGTTAATTGGCATAGTCTGGTTCAACGGAGGCCCCGGCTGTTCGTCCCTTATAGGGCTAACAACAGGAAACGGACCAGTTTCGTTTAACGGCAATTCCACTCATCTCATCCAGAATCCACACTCGTGGACCAAGCTAGGCCACGTCCTCTACGTTGACCAGCCGGTGGGAACGGGATATTCGACTGCGACTAACCCTTATCCTGTCCCAGACAACGACCGCGTCACATCCGACTTCTACAAATGGCTCCGGAATTGTTTCTCCCTGTTTCCTCACCTCCGTTCGAAACGAGTACATATGATCGGAGAGTCATGGGCAGGAATCTACATCCCCTATTTTGCCTCCGCTATTGTCCACGGGCAGGACTCGTTCCCCATCAACCTCCGGTCCATCTCCATCGGCGACGGCACCATCGGGAACGCCGCCGCTATGTCCACCGTCACAATCGGGTCGTTCATGCGTTCCCAGAAAGAGACCCTCCAAATACCGGAGGAGATTCTATCCGTCTTCACAGAAGCTGAAAGGACCTGTGGATTCGACTACATCCTCGAAGCAGCAAACCAATACCCTCCCAAAGACAAGATCCGCATCCCCGGAAACCCCGAGAACAGGAACTACAAGCGCCACCAGCTCCTCGATACTCGCAACTTAGTCGATGAAACATGCAACATCGAGCCCACCACGCCCGACATGGTCAAGGCTTCCATTTTAAATTCCACCTGTTACGGTCCCTGTGCGACTTTCGCCACGGCATTCGACTATCTGGGCGCCATGTCTGCCTTGGGCACAGGCAAACAGTGTCACGATATCTACGACACCCTCAATGACTGTGACACCGTCGACCCCCTGGACCTCCTGGCCTCATACTTCAGCCGTACAGACGTCCAAGTCGCACTGAACCTGCTTCCGGCGGCAGCAGGGAAGGACCCCGGTGGAAACCATCCTTCTTCTCCTCCTCTGTCCCCAATGAGCTTCGCTCCCTGCAACAGCACAATCCTAACGACACTTTTATCAAGCACATCCCCGGTGGCTCCAGCGTATTCTATCCTTCCAGATCTCGTCACGACCCACAATATCCCCCTCCATATCTACTCCGGCGAGAACGACTTTCTCCTCAACCATTTCGGCACCGAACTGAGTCTCCAGAACATGACATGGAATGGAGCGCAAGGGTTCTCCCAAAGGCCTAACCGGCCGTTCTTCAGCGATAATGCTGCCCCCTCGCATTCCTGCGATAGGGGAAATAGAACGCAGACGTGTGACGTTGAAGCGGGCGTCTGGGGGTCAGAACGCGGGGTGACTTATCATCTCTTTTGGGGCGCAGGGCATAGTGTTTTTGCGAAGAAGCCACGCGAGATGTTTGCTTATGTGCGGGATGTTGTTGTGGCAGGTTGAATGTTTGCCTTTTTTTTTTTTTTTTTTTTTTTCCTCTGGGTAAACATAGATTCTTCTGTTGGATTCCGTGTTATGGTGTGAGAGGGGTTGTTGTGTCTCTGAGATATGCTGTACATGGATGGATTGCTTCGGCTGGAACTGTATAGCCTGTTTAATGATGGCACACCGGCTCTGAAGGCAAAACAAATAATGTCTCATTTCGCTATTTTCGTCACACATGATTACACAAAGATGGCACGCTATGCAAGGCTATTCCACACTATATAAAGACCAACACTGTACGCCATCACTTTTAAGCCCAGATTGAAACCCTTGTATCCCAGTGTCAGAACACAGAGGGGATGCAAAAACAAACAAGTCACGCAACTAAGTATACATCTTGTAATCGTCCAAATCATACTCAGGCAGCAGGGTAGCTATGCTGCAGACGCAGTCTGACAAGAAATGCATAGCACTTCCTGAGTCTTTCTAATGTCGTCTGAAAACAGGGGAGAGTCCTGCGAAGGATTTATCTCAAGGTCATTTTTGAGGCGCCTCTTGAGCCAGTCAACGAGGAGCACCCGATAGGTCGTAAAAGCCCTCAAAACTTGTAGAACGTAACAACGCTCACCACAAGAGCCGAAAGGGGTTTGAGAAGAAATAACTCTATAGTGTAGCACAAGGGTATAAATATGTAGTGAACGCCCTCCGGGGCAAACATGAGAGTGAGGTCAGCTGTGCCACATCACCGACGACTGAAAAACGGTGCCTGGTTGGGCATGGAAAGTAGAGAGTCGGCCCTCTGAAACACGTCTCCCTCGAAAAATTTGTCACTGTACGCACTGGCGGGGGTGGACGGCACCGTTGCCTGAGCGGCTGGACCAAGCGCAGCACTCAATGGTGTTGCAGGGAGAGTAACAGACTGTGGTGACAGGCTGGTGCTGATCTGATGCTGTGGATGTTGTGACTGTAAAGGGGGCCCGTAAATGTTTGCTGGGGCGTTTCCAGACGTCATGTCTGCGAGGTATGACCATGGTGAAGACTCGATCATCCGGCCGGCCTCTCTGCTGGCCCTCTGCACCGGACGAAGGAACATGATGATCTCGGAAGGGAGAAGATTCATGCTCCTGACTTCACGCATGTCTGTCACAAGATCAACGAACGATTGCATGAATGCCTTGCATAATTGCCAGAACTCGCGCTGGTTGCGCATCCCGCCGCCTGGTTCCTTTACCTTCATGTTGGAAAGACGGAGTCCAAGGGCCTCGGATACTTCCAAGCACACGCGACATCGCCGAATGAGGTTGTTCCAGAGCATCTGAATACCTTCGGATTCTCGGGTTTGTTCTGCCAATTCAAGACATCGTACAAATTGACGGCGCGCCTGAGGCAGCGCCTGAAGAGCGGCGGTGTATGCAGTAGTGAGCTGATGAAAGATCCGCTCAAACGTACGCTCTTCTTCGATTTCATCCAGGCCAGTCAAGGGATTAATCCGAGGTACAACCGTACTCGGCATTGGAGGGAAGGACTCGCCGGAACGGGGGGTCGCAAGGGACGAGGGTACCGATGTGTTTATGTGGTTTGACCGACTACTTGATCGACTCCGTGCTGCGTAACTGAATGGAGTGGAGACAAACCCAGGTGAACTAATCGCAGAGTGGAAATTGGATGCTGTCTGTAATGGCCCACTGGTGAGGATCTGAGGGTGCTGGATAGTGGTGTCACTCCGGTAGCGACGCACCGAGAGAGACGGCGCCCTGCCTCTAGTTGGGGTCACTGTTGATCCAGTGAGCCTATCCGACGCAACCATCTCTCGGTTTATTTCCGGTATAGGTGGCTTGGTGGAAGAGAGACGTTTGTGAGTATGCAGTGGAACACCAAGGCTCACACAAGCATTGCGAAGCTCAATGATACTGCTGTAGATCATTAGCATCAACGAACGTACATAGCGTGAATCTGCATTGGCAACAATCTTGCCAAGACTGTTGCGCAGCTGCGTCGCAACGTGAGT